CATTCTTTTCTAATTGTTGCTGTTGTCGGCCATCATTCTTTTCTAATTGTTGCTGTTGTCGGCCATCATTCTTTTCTAATTGTTGCTGTTGTCGGCCATCATTCTTTTCTAATTGTTGCTGTTGTCGGCCATCATTCTTTTCTAATTGTTGCTGTTGTCGGCCATCATTCTTTTTCAATTGTTGTCGCATTGTTATTGATGTCGGCCATTATGGTTTTTAATAGATAATAATCATAATTTCTTTTATATATAATATTCCGAATTATACAAAAAATTGCGTATACATATTACTTATCTTATTTATCTGGTCCCAAGTAAAATATTCGTTCCTACCTACTAATTATCATACCCTTCACATTTTTTTGCTACAAAAAGTCAAGCCTGACATTTGTGATATAGAAACAAATTCTTCTCCGTAGGCGGCGAAATCGCTATTTTGATACATGAGCCAATTATTTTGATGTAGGTACCCATTTGGACGGTATACAAAAAAAAGATAAAAAATATGCATACCTACATATATAACTTTGAAACAGTTCTGCTTATGAATTGTGAGACGTCATCATCATTCTTCATTTTATCTATGTTAAATAATTGCGGTAAAAGAAAAAGTTCTCTTCTCAAGCAGATGCAGTTTTGAGATAAATAGGTAACTTGATACGATTTTTTTTGTTGAATTTTGGAGCCGATGAATAAGAGAATTGGTGAAATTAATCGTCTGCTAATACGTATTAAATTATACTTCTAAGTGTTATGTATACAGGGTGAATCTATGAAAATAAGCAATTGTTCTGAAGAGCAACAATGATTATGTTACTTAATAAATTAATGTAGGTTTAATTCATTTTATGTGTTGCAATTTGAATACGCCAAAATTAGCGATTTTTAATTGATAATTCTGATCCTGGATATCGAAAGTAGGAGCGTTCCTTCGCTTATAAATAAATATTGCTGTACTATTAGCGGAGATAGATACTTGAGATTTGATTGCAAGCTAAAACGCTTGTTTTTGTTTAATATCTTCTAAACTGCTTAATAAATTAATCTTTGGCTTGTATTTAGGAAATCATTGCGAGTGAAAACGCAGGTAAAATGTATTGTTTAATGTATGTATCATCTATATGCCACGCATCAAACTAATATTTAATGTTTATCATTTTTTATTAGAATGTATGCAACAAAGTATACACCTGAATGTAAAAATTTAGGCGCGGCCACTTTTTTCCAATTGTTTTCT